CACACCAAGGATCGTAACCGAACACATGATGGTAGTTGAAGTTTTATTTTATTTTTAAAGAAAAAATACTATAATTAATTACTCAATTTTTTAAAAAAATATAATGATAAAAATGAATAAAATAAAATGGTGCAACATATAGACCAAAAATGATTAGTATTTATTTATTTATTATTATTAAAAAATTTCTAGAATTTATATTTTTTGTTTTACCGAAAGAAAAGAAATAGACAATTAAGTTTTAATACTAGACAATGACAACAAAAGAAGAAAAAAAAACTTTTACAAAATTACAATTAAACACTCTTTTAAACTAATGATATACTAGTTTTAATTTCTTTTTTTTATATTGATAAAAATTAAAGAAATAACCAATTTGGTAAAAAAAATTTTTATATAAAATGTCTACCTTGACTTATTTAATAGAAGATTGCAAAAAAATAGCAAATTTTTTAATTGTTAGATTATTAAGTCAAATTAGTCAAATATGTATTTTTACTTTAATAGTCAATTCATATATTTATTTAAGAAAATTTTATTTTTATTTTTATTTTGAAAAAAGAAGAGACCATATTTATATATATTTTTTTTGCAGAAATAACCAGATTCACATTTTTCTTTTGTTGCAAAAAAGACCAGATTAAACCCTTTTGCAAAAATGACTAGTTTTATATTTTTTATTTTTATTTTTTTCTTAAGTTCATTTTTCAAAAATAAAGTTACCAAAAACCTTAAAAAATTGCAATTGTTATATTTAATTTATTTATTTTTTAATTTTTTTATTTACTAAAGCTAACATTTAAACTAAATATGATTAAAAATATATATGCACATCATAATAAACACAATCATATGAGAAACACTATAGAATAAATTAATAAAAATATACAAACTTAGTAACATAAGGATAAACATAATCATACTAGAATCATAATAAACATAGCAAAAAAATCAATAATTTTTCCAAAAAAAAAAATTATAAAAAGAACATAAACACTAATTCAAGATTACATTAAAATGTAAAAAGAAATACCTAGAGTTGATGACAAGCAAATAATAGAAACAAATTCAATTGAATTCCCAAGAAAACACAAGAGAAATATCTTCTTCTTTGTTAAGAAAAATTTTTTTAAAGATTTTTTTTCTTCTTGAAATTTTCTTTCTATCTTTTTTGTTTTTTTTTAATGGAAAAAAGAAGGGGGTTTAAATTGGTGTTCGACATTAAACCTCCAACTTTTCTTGTAAATTTAAGAGCCAATGCATGCAGTGGACTCTTTGTTTCCCAAAGGTGCCACCCAAGATGACTAATGAATTTTTTATTTATTTTTGTTTTAAGAAAAATCAGTTTAATTGAATGATTCATTTTGCCCTTTTAGATGACCCATTATTTTATTCATTAATTGAGTATAGTTATATGGGTCATCAGAAAATAATAGGCCTAAATGTCATGTAGATGACCCGTTTCTTTTATTCATTGTTGGAATAATAGCTGATGGGCCATCTGAAAAAAATCTAAAATAGGTCCAAATTTTGACCCATTTCATCAAGACCCAAACAAATTGACCCACTAACACAAAATCTAAACATCTAAACAATTTTAAAGATCAAACACAACAAAATAATGCAGAAAAAAAGGTAAGAAGAATAAAAAAATAAAAAATAATAAACATAAAACGAAACACAATAAATAAATAAATAAATAATAACAATACTTCAAGCAACAACATCAACATGATAAACTTAAAGAACATTAATAACACAAATTCGACATCATACGACTTATATGGTCAAACGAAAAAAGATAATGATTAATTTAATAAAAATTGAGAGGGGAAAAAGATTGACATAACTTCCGGGTAAATGATGGTCGCCGCAAAACTTTGTTGGAAAATTTTTTGACGGATTCTTAACTTAAAATTTATATCAAATGATAGCCCTTGAAGAACTCTACACATTTATGTGAAGGGTTTGTGATGAGAATGACCGAAACTTTATAAATCTAAGTAAAAAATTAAAAATTCATATTTGATTTATCTTAGTTCTACGGAGTTTGGCTATCGATCTGGATGAAAGGTTTGTAGATTTAGGTAGATGAGGGTGAAAGAAAAAGATGGTAAATTTTAAATATTTTTCCGGCCAAAAAGGTGATGGCCACCAGGAGGTGGTGGCGACAGCGATGGCCGACCGGCGGCATGGTAGTAAATGGAAGAAGAAAAAATAAAAAATCTAAAAAAATGCTAATTTTTTGGAGTTTTATATTTTTGTTTAGGTCCAATAATAGCCCTTGGATCAAAATATCATGAATGATTGAGATTCAATCTTGACCATTTCTATTGACCGGGTCAAAATCAATTGGGCCATTAGAAATTGATCTAAATCAGCCCAATTTAAACAAAAATGGGTCATTTGAGCCAATAAAATAATAAAAATAAATACCCAAAATACAAATAAAAATAAAATTCCTTACTAAAATATTATAGGAGTAAAATAAACACGTCAAAAATTAGGTGTTCACAGCATGACTCTCTTTGCTTGAAAACTCTTTGAGTTTTCAAGCAAAGAAAGTGAACGAAGTGGTTAATTTTTTATTGTTTCAAACTTCGACGAAGCCTTCAGAGGTTGCCTATATATCCTTGATTAAAAGAAAATCAGATCATTGTAGTTCGAGAAACTTTGATAGCCGAAATTATTAGAAATGGTGGCCAAAAGATTACTTCATATTGCTTGTCATCATCTACTGCCTATAGTTACAAAGAAAAGAGTTAGAGAACTATGTCTCTCTACATTATAAATGTTACAAGATCCCTAATTGATGTATCTTCTGAGGATCTCGTCTAGATCTTTCACTTGCTCTATGCATTATCATTGAGATCGTTCTTCATGCTGTTTTGGCGGCTGGTGGATCATTCTTATGTGCATGTTTTAAATTGAGTTGGTTGTTGAAACTCAAAACTCAATATCACAAAATGAAAAACCCATGAAGAATATGTTTCATTTAGAAAAAAAGAAAACAAATGAGAATCTTGAACTAGGAAGTATAACCCTATAATGAATAGGTTAAGTGAGACGTGTTGCCCTGAGAGTTCCAAATAAGACACATTGTCCTAAGATTGGATGTACCCCCAAAATGTAAATAGGATGTGATAACCTATGAATGTTTGTGCGTATAGCTCCAGATATGAATATGGTGCCCATAAATAAAGAATTAATCTGTATTGCATGTGAATAAGGACTGGTGAGCACTTCACATAAATTCAGATTGATGCGTATTGTACGAAATTCAGACTGGTGCATATTGCACATGAACACAGAATGGTGCGTATTGCTCATGAATAAAGGATGTGTGCTTGTTGTACAAAATTTAGATTGGTGCGTATTGCACGAAATTCAGACAAGTGTGTATTGCACATGAACAAAGGATGGTCCGTATTGACCATGAATAAAGGATGTGTCTGTATTGCATGGAATTCATAATGATGCGTATTGAACATGAATCCCAATTGGTGTGTATTGCACAGAATTTAGACTGGTGCGTATTGCACATGAACACAGGATGGTGCGTATTGTCCATGAATAAAGGATATGTGCTTGTTGCAAGGAATTCAGATTGGTGCGTATTGCACGAAATTTAGACAGATGTGTATTGCACATGAACAAAGGATGATGCGTATTGCCCATGAATAAAGGATGTTTGCTTGTTGCACGTAATTCAGATTGGTGCGTATTGCATGAAATTCATACATGTGCGTATTGCACATGCACAAAGGATGGTTCACATTGCCCATGAATAAAGGACGTGTGCGTATTGCATGGAATTCAAATTGGAGCATATTTCCCGAAACTCTCACATTGATAGGCAAAAATGCGAGTATCATGAGATGAAACGCCAAACATTTGAAGAATTTGGAGATCTTCCTTTTTGTGATGTTTTCTTTTTGACTTGTAACCCTGCATTTCTTTTTTTTCTGTGTTGAGCAAATGAAACAGAAAATTGTTAGTTTAAAGTGGTGGTTGGGTTGTGGCCTTGGTTCTCTAACGACTTGACCATACTCACGACCAATTTCTCAACCTCTACTAGATTTCCTTGGTTAAGCAACATTTGAAGCTCCCTCTTTGTTAAACAGGGGCCTTGATCTTTTGGTACTACCAAATATCATGGAGCGAGTGATGTCTCAAAGAATGATGACCTTCCTGAATTTTCAGTGAAGATCTGAGGTGTTATTAGACCTTGCTCAATGGCTTGTCTACTCCGATACTCAACTTTACTTTTGGGAACCCGTAGTAAGCTTTGCACTCTTTAATCTGGAGGCATATGTCGACTTTGATTGAACCATGACATCAACTTAGACTTTCCCCTTGATCTGTTTGAAGTTTTTTAGTTCTCAAAATCTGAGTCATCGTCAATTGATATATGTGCCCTTTATGAAGAAGTGTTGAGAAATGATCATCTTTGCAAATTTCATTCATGATGTTCTCTCCCTTTATCTTAAGGTGCCCGTAGGATTTTCACCTATAAGATTATATTATTATTATTTTCGTCTTATGATGCCTATGAAGGTTTCCATCGATAAGACTCTCTCATTTTTTTTTACTTACTTATGGTACCCCCAAAGGTTTTCACTCATAAGTTTTTTTTGTTTTTTATGTTGCCTTTAATGATTAATATCATTTTCAGATTTGATCAAAAAGTCGGTTGCCAGAATAAACAGAATTACAATCTGACATTATTCTATATAAAAAAAACTAAAACAATGCCCCAGTGTTCTGTAAATACTGGAAAACTAATTTTTTTTATGTGACCGAACCCCTAAAGGGTTGCCTACGTATCCTTTTGGAATCAGGTAAAACGTAGTTTAGAATTTTCAATGAGAGATTTTTTTTGAAGAGATGCCTTTGTTTTTTCAACCCCAAACTTGTCGCGGAAACTTAGAATGCATTAGATGTAGTATCTTTTGACTGAATCTGCATTAATAATTATGCCCGTGATTTTTCCTTCCATATCAGTAAGGTGCAGGGCTCCTTTGGACAATACTTCCTTGATTAAGATATGGACCTTGCCAATTTGGGACAAATTTTCCCTTGGCTTCTTCTTGGTGCGGAAGAATGCACTTTAAGACTAGTTGACCTACTTCAAAATGTCTTGGGTGCACCTTTTTGTTGTATGAACGAGCCATCCTTTGCTGATAACGCTGACCAAAACAGAAAATCGTCAATTGTTTCTCGTCTATTAACGCGAGTTGCTCTAGTCGAGTTTTGACCCAGTCAGTATCTTCAATTTCAGCCTCGACAATAATTCAAAGAGATAAAATTTTGACTTTCGCTGGAATCACAACCTCGGTTCCATACACCAGCAAATAAGGAGTTGCACCAATCGAGGTGCGCACTGTTATACGATATCCTAAAAGTGCAAAAGGCAGTTTCTCATGCCATTTTCTAGTGCCATGAACCATCCTTCTAAGAATCTTTTTGATTTTCTTTTTGGCTGCCTCCACAGATCCGCTGGCTTTTGGTCGGTATGGAGTAGAATTGTGGTGCACAATTTTGAACTGCTCGCATACCTCCTTCATCAGATTACTATTGAGGTTTGCAGCATTATCTATGATGATAACTCTTGGTATACCAAATCGACAAATAATGTTTGAATGAATAAAATCCACGACCGCCTTCTTACTGCTTTGAAAGTTATTGCCTCCACCCATTTGGTGAAGTAATCAATTGCAACCAAAATGAATCGATGTCCATTAGAGGCTTTTGGCTCAATTGGTCGATTGCATCCATTCCCCATGCAACAAAGGGCCAGGTAGCAGTCACAGGGTGCAACTCTGAATGAGGTGAATGAATGAGATCACCATGGATTTGACATTGATGACATTTTTTCACAAAGTGAAAGCAATCCCTTTCTCTGGTAAGCCAATAATACCCCGCCCGGAGTATCATTTTTGCAAGGAAATATCCGTTCATGTGTGGTCCACATATCCCAGCGTGCACTTCATCCATAATTTTCTCGTCGTCTTCAACATCCACACATCTCAATATATTCAGATCCAGAGTTCGTTTATACAAAACATCCCGCTAAAAAAGAAACCATAAAGTTCTTTTTTGTCTTCTGTTGGCATGTTAGGGGCATCTCCCTGTCTTCAAAAAATTCTTGATGTCTGAGTACCACCGCTAACCATCAGATTCTACTTCCACTGTATTACAATAGCCATGTTGGTCCCGAACTTGAATCTCTAATGGGGTGATGTAAGTGTTTCCAGGGTAGGGAAGCATTGAGGCCAAAGTAGTCGAGGCATCTACCAAATCATTATGAAACCTGGGGATGTATCTAAACTCGATTTACATGAGCCTTTTGCTAAGATTTTCCACACATTGTCTGTATGGAATGAGCTTGAGGTCTCGAGTTTTCCATTCGCCTTGAGATTGTCGGATAAAAAAATCAGTATCTCCCAACACAATTAATTCTTGCACACCCAAATATATTGCCATATTTGGACCCATGATGCAAGCTTCATACTCAGTCGTGTTATTTCTACAAAAGAAACAAAGTCGAGCTGTTGTAGGGTAATGTTGCCCTGTGGGCGATATTAAAATTTCCCCAATCCCTTTACCTTTTGTGTTGGTTGCTCCATCAAAGTACAATTGCCATGCTTGATTTCCATTTGAACTTACTTCCTCAATTGCAGTGCGAGTGACATATATAATGTAAAATTCAGTGAGCAAAATTTGTCATTTCGCGAGTCTGCCAGTTGGCATTGGCTTCTGAAAGATGTACTTCAAAGCATACATCCTTGATATGAGGTAAGTTGTGTTAGGACAATAATTAATGCCTTAACTTTTGAGCTACCCAAGTTAGGGCGCAACATGTCCTTTCCAAAAGGGTGTACTTGACCTAATAACTAGTGAATTTCTTGCTCAAGTAGTAGATAGCCTGCTCCTTCCTTCCTATAGCATCATGTTGACCGAGAATAAACCCAAACTAATTATCTATTATTAAAAGATATAGAAAGAGAGCTATCAGGTTCAGGCGGTACCAACACGGAAGGGTTGGACAAATACTCCTTGATTTTTTCAAAATCTCGTTGACAATCTTTTGTCCATCTGACAACAGCATCCTTCATTAGAAGTTTGAAAATGGGCTCACATGTGGTTGTGAGTTGAGCAATAAACCTGCTGATGTAGTTCAACCTACCAAGTAGACTCATGACTTTGGTCTTATTTTTCCGAGATGGCAAATCTCAAATGGCTTTTACTTTGGAGGGATTGAATTTGATTCCCCTTATACTGACAATAAAACCTAGAAGTTTTCCAAATGGAACTCCAAATGCACATTTTGCTGGATTAAGCTTGAGTTCATATTTTTACACTCTTTCCAAGAATTTTTTCAGATCTTGCACACCATCAACTTGTGTTTTAGACTTGATGATTACGTCGTCGACATATACTTCAATTTCTTTATGCATCATATCATGGAACATGGTGGTCATAGACCTCATCTAAGTCGCCCCAACATTTTTAAGATCAAATGACATGAACCTGTAGCAATAAGTTCCCCATGGAGTGGTGAAAGCAGTTTTCTTAGTGTCCTCTTCATCCATCAAGATTTGATGATACCCCGCATAAAAGTCCACAAAAGATTGCATCTCGTGTTTTTCACAATTATCAATTAGGATGTGGATATTTGGCAATGGAAAGTTGTCTTTTGGACTAGCCTTGTTCAAATCCCGATAGTCAACACAAACTCTTGTCTTTCCATCCATTTTCGGCACAGGAACAACATTTGCCAACCAAGTAGTGTAACAAATAACTTGGATCACCTTTGCATTAAGTTGTTTCATCATTTCTTTCTTGATTTTTACACTTACGCTTGGTTTTAATTTCCTTCTTTTCTGTTGGATGGGTGGAAAATCAGGATAAACGGGCAACTTATGAACCACTAAATAAACACTCAAACCTAGCATGTCATCATAAGTCCAAGCAAATACATCTTTGTATTCAAACAAAAGCTGTATTATTGCCTCTCTAATTTCTTGATTGATATGTAAACTTATTTTTGTTTCCTTAACATCCTCAGAATTTCTCAAGTTGATTGTCTCAGTTTCACTAATATTAGGCTTTGGTTTGTACTCAAACTGTTCCAGTTTCCTATTAATTTCCCTAAAATCCTCTTCATCATCATATTCAACCCTTGACTTGGTGGTTCAAGAATAAACAATCCTTTGAAATCAGGGAGTGAATTCCACATGCATGTCATGTTATCAAAGCCGGCATTTACAGAATGAAAAAATAGAGAATAAGAATTAAGGGAGGGAAAAAGACAAAATTTACTATGAAAATGAAATTTCATTTCATTGACATCAAAAAGGGATAGAAGGGTTGACAATAACAAAATACTTTGAACTATTCGGCCACAACCCTGAGAATAACAAATACAAAAGAGTAGGAAAACAAACTACCATGACTCCTTCCTTATGGGGAAAGGAATGGCTTCACAATTGCTTAACTCAACACCTGAGCCCACAAGCTGCATATTGGCATGACTTGTACCTTCACCAACTTAGACCATATTTACTTCACAAAACAACTGACTAAGATCCTCAATAACTTCTGCAATGACTTCAAGAGTGAATCAATCTTTAAATTCTAGACCCTGAGGTTTATAAAAGAATTAGAAATATGGGGAATTAGTTGTGGCAACGACCAATCAATCCTTTTGTGGTTCTTAGACTTATGTCAATTTTTCTTTCTTTGTTTGTATCCAAGGCCAGTGGTGCCTTGGTTTCCTAAGAGAGTAATGGGATCCACGATTCCTTGTGAATATAATCCCAAACCTTTACCAGGTTGATAACCATATTTGAGCATTGTCATTGCTATCATTGAAGCGGAAGAAGAGATACATGATTGGATGATAGATTCTCTTTCTTTAAAGCGATCGACTGATACAGCCTCAAAAGACTGGTAAACAACAGAATCAGATACTTCCTTTGCCTCAATGTATGGGACAGATGGATCTCTGTAAAGAGGTGAATCATCTTCCCCATGAACAGTGATTTCCTGATTGTTGTATTCAAACTTGACAACTTGATGTAGAGTTGATGAGACGGCTCTAGCCATGTGGATCCCTGGCCTCCCTAGTAGAAAATTGTAAGATGTTTCCATATCCATTACTTGGAACACAATCATAAAGACTACTAGCCCAATTGTCAGGTTTAACTTGATTTCACCAATGGTATCCCTCCTTGAGCCGTCATAAGCTCGCACAAATACATTACTGGGGCGAATTCTGTCAATGTTAACTTTCGAGCTTTGCAGCGTAAAAAGAGGACATATGTCTACCTCTGACCCTCCATCTATCATGACCCTCTTTACATAGTAACTTTCACATGTCAGTGTAAGATGCAAAGCTTTGTTGTGTCCAACTCCCTCTTTGGGCAACTCATTATTAGTCAAAGTGATGGCGTTTGACTCGAAGTCGCGCTTGGTCATATTCTCTAACTGATTTACTGTGGTCTGTTTTGGCATATGTTCTTCATTTAAAACCTTATTCAACACAAGACAATGTTCTTCTGAGTGCAAAAGTAGAGACAATAGTGAAATCTGTGCAGGCGTCTTCTTCAATTGTTCCATAACAGAGTAATATGGAACCTTAAGCGTTTTTAGAATTCTACATTTTCTTCCTCGATAACTGATTTCTTTAGTGGCACTTAGATATTTTCAGTCATATTCCCTTCTTAATTCTTCTAGAGAATAACGTCTTCCACAACGTGTCAAACCCCGCTTCATCAACTTCTTCAACAATCTCCTTTCCTTGATAAACCACTGCGGTTTTATTATAGTTCCAACCGATAGCCTTTGAATCAATTACTGGAAGCTGTTGAACGGTCTTAACAAAAATAGTCTCTTTCAACTTGGTCAAGCAACTTTGGTCATGTTGTGTTAATGAAAAGCCTTTTGATACATACAACTTTGGCATAGCTGCTCGAACTTCAATCCCCTTTGAAACCCCTTCATTGAGTTGTCCTCTTCTCTGATCTTCCTAAACAACTTCACATTTTGCTGAAGAGTTGGTACTCTAATCATCACAAACCATACCCACTAAGTTGTTTTGAGCTAGAAGTGGGTTATTGATCACATTGGGAGTGTTTTGGTTCTCTGTCACAACAACAACTCCATGCTTGATCAACTTCTCTATTGCTCCTTTCAAGGTCCAACAATAATTAGTGTTGTGTCCTGGGGCTCTTGAATGATATTCACATCTTTCATTGGCTTGGAAACCCGGAGCATTTTGATTCAGACGATTTGGTGGGATACACCAAATCGCTCCTATCTTTCTTAACTTTTGAAACAAGCTGGAGTACGACTCTCCCAATGGAGTGAATTTCTTTTTCTGTGCTTGATCTTGAGCATAATTCTGTATAAGATGAGAGTTGTAAGAGACTTGATAGGGGGGATGTTGTGGGCGAAAGTTTCCTTGATATGGGGCCCAAAAATATGGGCGATTGAGAGGATGCACATATGACATAGCATTTAAGGACCGTGTACCGAGATAGAGATACTTGATATTGAGGGGCATAAGGGTAGTAATGTTTGAGGATAGCTAAGTTATCCCTGAACTGATGTGTAAGGACGATTAGACTTTCTCTGAGCTCTTCTTGACCCTGATGCCAGTGAAATAATTTCCTCTTTCCTTTTACGATTTTGA